GTTGGGTCTAAAGTAAATTTTAGTAAACAAAAAAACACTTTTTTAAGCTGTTTAACTTCTGGTAGTATGAGTTGCAAATGCAAGGTGGGAAATGAAAAGAGTTAAGAAAAGAACAAAGAAAGAGGGAAATAGAGAAATGAAAAACACGAAGGAAAGAAAATTAGCTACAGCCCTGGCTGGTGTGGCTCAGTGGGGCCAGCCCGAGAACCAAATGGTCACTGGTTCAATTCCCAGTCTAGGACACATGCCTGGGTTGTGGGCCAGGCTCCCAGTAGGGGATGCAGGAGAGGCAATCACACACATTGATCTTTCTCTCCCATTCTCTCTCCTTCCCTTCCTCTCTCTCTGAAAATAAATGAGTAAAATATTTTTAAAAATATGAATATGTGAGGTCCTTTATATAAGTGGGTTGTACAATTCCTGTCTTTTTGTGACTTATTTGTTTTACCTAGCATAAAAAGCAAATTGACCTTTTCTTCCTAAGGCTGAGAGATAGTTTGTTGTATATGTATATATTACATTTTCTTTTCTCATCCCTCAGTGTATAGACAATTGTATTGCTTCCACCTCTTGGCTATTGTGAATCTAGCTGCAGTGAAATCAGATGTGCTAATATTTTTCAAAATCTTGGCTTTTAATTTCTTTAGATATAAAACAGAAGTGATATTGTTGGACCAGATGGTAAGTGTAGAGGAATATGCAAGTTGTTACCTACAGTAGCCACACACTTGGGCATTTCCCTCAATAGTTGGTTCAGGTTGTAATTTGTCCTTCTTTGCAGAATTTGTTCAAGAATTTTCACCATTTTAACCGTATAACTTGACCTTTCCTGTTGTTAAATTGTAGGGTTTGCTCATATAGCTTAGATATTAAAGCCTTAACAGATATATGGGATTTGCAGATACCTTTTCTTTGTTTTGTATATTTCTTTTTTTCTCGCTTTTTTCTCTTGATGACCAATAGCTTTGAAGTTCGATATAGTACCATTTTCTATTTTACATTGTTTCCTAAGCTGTTGGTATCTTATAGAAATAATCATTGCCAAATCCAATTTCATGAAGCTTTTTCTCTGGGTGTTCTTCTGTGAGTGTTATAGATTTGGGTCTTTCATATAGATCTTTAATTCATTTTGAGATATTTTTTGTATGTGGTATAAATTTATTTTACATGTGAATATCTAGTGTTCTCAACACCTTTTTTTGAAGTCTGTCTTTTCTTCATTGAGTGTTCTTGGCATTCAATGATCATTTGACCATATGCAGGAAAATTTATTTATAGGGTCTTCACTCAGTTGTATTTATCTATATGCTTGTCTTTATGCCAATACCACTCCATTTTTACTGTAGCTTTATATTGTGCAGGGTTTTTTGCTTCCCTTCTTATTTATTTATTTATTATTTTTAAACTTTTTTTATAATGTGTTTTTAAACCAGGAAACACAAGCCTCCAACTTTCATTTTTTAAAAAGATTGTTCTGGCTTCACAGAGTCTCTTGAAATATCATATGAATTGAGAACAATATTTTTTATTTCTTTAGAAAATTCCATTAGGATCACAATATGTTACATTGAACCTATAGGTCACTTTGAGTAGCATGGACAGGTTAACAACACTAATCTGGCAAACTATGGTTTTGTTGCCAAAGAGGATAAATTTTCAAGCAGTTCCTGTGTTTTTTTTCCTCCTATGATATATTCATACTCAGCACTCTGAAGGGGTTGATTCTGCTTTCACACCCCACTTAAAACTTCCTGAGGTAAGAATAGGACAGGGCTTTTGAGATTTTAGATCTAGGAGCTGTGAGAGGAGATTAAGAAAGCTAGACTGCTTTCCAGCTTTTGTTTTGTTCTGGTGTAACTGTCTGACTGTGCCAGTGGTAACTCTATTCTGCAGTCCATCCTCTCTTTTCTGCCAACTCTAGTGCAATTGAAACAATTTCATTTGGTGAGAAATAAGAAGCATCTTCAACAGAAAACATTAGTTTAAAAAAAGCTTGGTACTTGCTTTTTGAACACATCCCTAATTTGTCATAAATATTTGAAAGTCATGTGTGACAAATGTAGTCATGTTATTCACTAGAAAGTCGAAAGCTTTGTCTTTCATCAATGAAATAACTGGGTCTTTGGAGGATACTGTGAATGTGTGTGTTAGCTTCAGTCCCAGGAATGACTTCAGACCCAAAGACCTGGCTATTTACAAAGTCATAGAACTGCACTGAGCAAATATTACACCTTTAGAAAGTGCTCCCTGCTGAGGAACCTGTGCACAGGTGCCCAGCCCCAGTTTCATTCCAGTGTCACCACCTCAGAATCAGAGAGTCTGGACGGATGTCTGACAACACAAATGTCCAGAATAAAGGGAAGCATTAGGACCCTTCTTCAGGACTGGGACAATGAGAAGCTACAACTGTGAGGAAAGCAGTTACCTTGTTCAGTACACATTACTGCAACACTTTTTAAAATATGAAGATACTTGATCTTTTGAAGTGTTTTGAATACTGTGGTAGAGAAAATCATTGGCCCCCGAGAATACCCCAAGTCATATACTGGATCCTGTGAGAGTATATTTTGCAGAAGATACTTTGGTTGTGCGGTGATGTTACAGGTGGTGAGATGGAAAGGCTATTTTGGATTTTCTGGATGGTCCCTCCATGTAATTGCTTGTGTTTTTGTGACTTAGAGAAACAGTCAGAGGAAGATCAAATGACAGCAGAAAAAAAGCAGATGTGGCCATGGGAGCAGAGTACGAAAGGTGTACGTGATGGGGGAACCTGAGACAAGAGTGAAAACAGCTTCCAGAAGCTGGAAAAGCAAAAACAGATTTCCCCAGAGAATCTGAGGAGAAAGCAGGGTCCTGTAGATACACACCATGATTCCAGCACAGTGATGCCCACTCAGGCTTCTGGTCTCCAGGATGGTTATGGAGTGTGTAGACGGGTTCAATGCTTTATCCACTCAGATGAACTTAGGAGACAAACAGGTGACCACCTGCTCATTCTTTCATCCCCTGTCTGAAATTTCCCCCACAGCCCTCAGAGGATGGCACATGAGGGCAAAGGGAATCTTTAAGGTCTTCACTAACATTGGCAGGAGCACTGAGCACATTTCATGTGTGGAAAATGACAAACCCTAACCACCAACATTGTTCCTATTCTACATGCATTTTCACCTCACATGTGAGGGAGCAGATGCACAAACCTTTCAAAGATATTCTGTAACAGAACCTTGACTGTGTGTGGAACATAATGACTCCTTAAAATTGCAATAGGGTGTGATCCCAGTTCTAGGTCCTGTGCACCCACTGCCTTCACTGCCCTGTGATCAGTCAGAGACCTCTGGGGCACATCTACAATACAAAACACTTTCCTGGCTTTTGTTGTCATTTTCATAAACCCCATGAGCCTGTCTCAAAGAGAGTCCACAAACAGGATACACAGTATTGGGAAATAGACAGTATATTCTGAGTTATTTTGAGGTTTGTTGGTTCCGATTGGCTTTTAACCATGAATCAAAATCCTAGACAGATCTGCAACCAGAAAGATTTTAGAAACCAGGGGGTGTGAGGGAATATACCATATTTTTGGACCATAAGATACACCTAGGTTTTAGAGGAGGAAAATAGGGGAAAAAATTTTGAAGCAAAAAATGTGGTAAAATATTTAACATAAATAACATAATATTTCACCAATGTAAATGTAAACAGAACTCAACAGCAGCATTCACAACCATTATACCTGCCAGATTTGGGGGGAAAAGAGTGTGTCTTATAGTCTGAAAAATACAGTAAGAAGGGGTAATGTCATGGGCAGAAATAGGAGGAAAATTGTACTGCAAAGAAAAGCAGGGCAAAGAGGAACAGTGTGTGTTGTTTTCTGGGTTTAGGGGGAAGATAATCAAGAAGGAATAGGGAGCAGCGTAGATTTTCTGGAAGAGGTTGAGGACTCATATTGTGGATAAAGTCAGGTTTGGTGGCCCACCCACCAAGGACAGAGTTTCTGGAGTTGGATAATTTGTGTGGAAAAGAAGCAGTTCTTCCAAATGAGGGTATGGTCTTGGAGGCAAGGTAGCTTTCTGAAAAAATGAATAAGATTCTTGAAGACTCAGATACTGAAACAAAACATTTGATTAGGGGCATCTCTTGGGGGTGTGCTCTTGTGTACATGGGAGAAACAAAAAAACACATAAAAAAAGTCAAGAGCACAGGGTGGCAGAGGGGCTTATGTGTAGGAATGGGGAAGAAGAGAGAATGGAACCCTAAACAGAGGTAACCAGAGAAACGTGCTCCTAACTTAATCCCAAGGGCTCAGTAGCCCAAGATATAGGGCTTGATTGGCCCAGGAAAATGAGAGATTGGATGCTGGGAAAGGGACTAGAGGGAGACTGAGGTTAAGAAAAAAACTAGCAGCCACTGAGGGATGAAATTTCTTGAAAGACAGGAAGGATGGCATGCATGTGTACTGTGTAGTCTGTCTGATGGCTGAAGAGCAGGTGGGAAATGATAAAGAGAAAAGAAGTTAGGGGTGCAGAGACAGATCAAAGAGGGGGAAAGGTAAGGAAAACCAGGAAGCTGGTGTGGGGAAAGTGCACAGGCTAGAGTCCAGGAATATCAGTTCTCAGAGAGTAAACTAAAGTACTCAGTGTCTGCATTAGACCAGGGTGGGACTGTTGCTACTCTTCCACTAAGTGGGGTCTGAGTCAGACAGACTGAGCTTCTCATAGTGATGCAAGTGTTGCTTCCACAGTACCCCAAGTTTCCTTACCCTGAGTCTGCAACAGGCAGTCAGTGCCCACAAAATCCCATTGAGTGGGGCTGAGGAGTAGCCTGGCAGTGGTTGTTGGGGACCCTGTTGGAAGTGGGTAAAGACTGGGTGTCTTTGGAGTTTGCTGTGTTGTTAGGTTTTGATACAAATTGCATCAAATATGTATATGATTGGAAGTCTTTCAATTCATAAATGTACATTTTTTTTACTTATTTGTTTTCAATTTTTATTTTTTTTCCAGAAAAGTTGGTAATTTTCTGGGTGTAGCTCTTCCACATACTTGGTTAAATTTTTGTAAGTATTTTATTCTTTCTGATACTATTGTAAATGAAACTGCTCACTTAATTTTGTTTTGGGTGTGTTCATTGTTGTTACAGAGAAATGGAAAGGATGCTGACTGTTGATTTTGTCCTTTGCTACTTCACTGAATTTATCAGTTCTAACAGTTTTTTGAGTGGAGGGCAGAATCTCTAGTTTTTTTACATATAAGATTAAGTTGTCTGTTAAAGAAATTTATTTTATTAATTTTTTTCCAATTTGAATGCCACTTATGTCATCTTTTTGCCTAATTATTCCACCCAGGGCTCCCAGAACTATGTTGAATAAGTGAAGAAGAAACATTTTCATCATGTTCACAATTTTATTAACATCTTGGTGTCTCTCCATGGAGCAGTGTGTTAACTATGGGTTTCCATGTGTGGCCTTTACTGTCCCGAGTAGTTCCCTTCTATTCCTGTAGTCCCTGACTTTTGTTAAAACCATAAAACCTCCCTAGACAGTTATTTCAGCATTTATTCAATTTTCAGTTCTGAAAGTGAAGCTTTTTTCAAACAGAAAAAAGATTTAGATAAAATTTCTTCAAAGACAAGGTCATGAAGACTAGACTGGTCTATCTTTATTTAGTAATAAAGTATTTAACATGAGGTAAATGCATCCCCACTAACTAACGTTTTCTGGGTCCCAGAATTAGACAGAGGATCTAAGCCTGCCTTCCCCAACAAACACACACATTTATTTGAGGAACAGGACCTGGTGTTTTTGAAGCCACATAAGTTCTAGGAAAAGATCAATGAATGATAATAAGAGAGTAGAATTTCACCTGATGTTGAGGCTATAGGAGGACACATGGGCTGGGAAGGGGTTCCCTGTGCTGAGAGTACAGAGATGTCCATGGGAACAAGTCAGGGCTCACTCTGGGGTAATTTGGGGTCAGAAAGGAGATCCATACCTCTTTTTACATATTGTCATCTCAACAAAAGCAATAATTTTTCTGCAGAGAGCAGGACCATCCTCAGGTGACCCTTACAAACTTAACTGTGGACTGTGAGTGGCTGAGATGTCAGAAGTTGCATGGTGGCCCCAGGTCCCAAGCCCACTCTCTATCTGTCACAGCCTCTGGTTCTCCACAGAGCCTGTGAGAGTGTCAACATTCTAGCCAGAAACCCCACAGTCACAGAGTGTAATGACACTGTCCTGCTGGCTGATACACAAGTGTGATCTCTACTCAGTGGCTTTACAACCACAAAAGTCTGTGGCTCTTTAAAAGGATGATACTGTCCTGTGGGTTACAGAACCTTCACCATAGACCTTGTCAGGAGAATGATGTGGGAATTTTCAGGGTGATGGCACCAACCCCACATTTCTTTGAAACGAACCTCTCAAACTCAGTGTAATCTAGAGTGACACTTCTTTCTTCACTTGTTATTACACTCTGAGTAAATCTTTTGCACTTTTTGAATAGATTTGCTGTGAAAGTTGAAAATTGTTAGAAGACTTGCATTGAGTCAAGAAATGCTTAATAATAAAAGTTGACATTGTCATTGTTGTTGACTTAACTTTACAGCTTACACCAGATCCCACCTTTGACTGGTCTCAGGTGCAGCACCTTTACAGTGCAGGAGACACCGTGTCCCTCAAAATATAGGTAGATGTCACGTGATGACCTGTGGGAGGATATGATAATCTTGCCTAAATCCAAGTTCTGTCCTTTTTTCCAGGGGTCATGTGGAGGGCACCTGGACACTGTTATGGACAAGTATAAATGAGCTGAGAGACACTTATGTGGGTAGGAACTCTGGTCTTTTTCTCTCTCTTTGACTTCTTTCCATAAATTCTAACATCTTCTTGAGCATTCTTATTTTCATGGGAGTAGGCTTATTTGCCTATGTTTAGCATGACTCTGTCCCTTTTATTAGTAGAATACAATCGGAATTGTTGGTAATAGCAACAAGGCTTTTGTTCATATATCCTAGTTCAGACTGATGCCCATAGAATTTGAAATAACCTTACTCATTATGGATGTAAGTTTTACCTAATGTTTATATTGATATTTCGTGGAGAAGAGGGCATTGCCCCAAACTAGGGAGACTGCAAGTGAGGTGTGAGAGTGAAGCTTCCTAAGTTCAAGAGGGTGTTCTAACTCCCACCTTAGGTTTTATAGAAAAACCTGCTTCAGAGAAAACCCTTGGCGAACATCAGTTTCTCTTCACTTCAGTAACTAATCAGGAGAAAACAAATTACAGCAGCCATGTTGGAGAATGAAGAATACTCTTTTTTATTTGATATGACACTTGAGAAAAAATAAAAGGTGACTGAAGAGATTTATAAAAGTACAGCTTCCTGGGAGATGCAATCCTAGCTCTGTTCAAGGACTTCAGCTCTTTTGCTCTTGTGCCTACATTGCTCTGAACTGACAGCTCTTTCTAAAATTCAGGAATTGATGGAGATGCAAACTAGGTCTTGGCTGAAAGAGATTTGGCTGTGGCTCCCTCCACTGTGAAGAAGGCATTTGTGTTATGACTTAGAAGTCTGAATGTAGCCTCAGAGTCAGGAACCCTTAGACAGGTTCTCTCTGACTCCAGGTCTCAGAGATCTATTTCTTTAGACCATTCCATTAAAAATGTAGTTGTAATTTGGTAATGGCTGATTCTTTATTTGGTCTTTAGAAACATACACAAGTGTTTCTGAAAGCTTCTTCCCAGTGTTAAGAACCAAATAGCATCTGTCTCAAATGCCTAGGCCCACTACTTTGAATCTTAATCTCCCTGATGCTCCTATGTCCCAGTCTGTGAGGAAGAGTAAATGCCTACCATGGTCTGGGACCTATACAGACCAAACATAGAAGGACTTCCTCTCAGGATTTTGTGAAAAGTTTTGCTTCTCTATTCTGTAAAGTCAGTTAGCAAACACAGATGCCCATGGTCCCGTCTGTTCTGAAATCTCTCCAGACTTTGAATCATGGGTGTTGAGTTCTGTGACACTGCCCTATTGCATGGTCTTGAATACAGTCTTTTTATTTTTAAACCTGTAAACTTGTTTGATGAATGTTTTTCTTTAACATAAGCTCCTTGTATGTAGTTAATCATGTCACCTTACTCAAAGTGTCCATCCTTAACATATTTTAAGTCTTTCTTTTTTTAAAATAAGGTTTGAAATTGTCTTGACTGTCTTCTGACTTGATGTTCACAGCAGGAGATGACCTGACTTCCCAGATCCTCTTGGGGCCCCAGGTTGTGTCAAAGCAGCCTTTGCTCAGAATCCTACAAGATGTGCCAACATGAAAGGGCACAATTCCACAGCTCCCTTACTGTCAACACTGTACTCATTCCACATATGTTTTCATTGCACCTTCAGGAAACAAGATCACAGAGTCTATAAAAGATATTCTGCCATTAAACCTCAACTACTCTAGTGAGCATGCAGATCTCTGTGACATCAGCCACCCACAGGCATGTACTGAATGAGCCTCTCTCAAGCCCTCTTTGACATGCAGTTCAGGGAAGACATCTCTGTCCTCATTCTTTGTTTTCTTTGTTCTTTTTGCAATTTCCACATGCCTGTCCTTAAAGAGCCTGCATTCAGAATTGGGAAATGGGAAATAAATCACTTTTCTGGTTCCATTTCCTTTCCTTCTGCCTGTGGCTCTGGTATGTTGGACTGAGATCCTTGGGAACCTGTCCAGAGGTGGACTGTGTGTGAGCAGAGCTTACAGAGAATGAAGTCATGGAGAAATGGGGTCTGCTCAGAGTCGCATGAGAAATTTTGAAGCCTAGGAGTTGTGAGTGTGTTAGGCATTGTATGATTTGAAGGAGCCCTAAAGGTGCCATGCAGGAGGCTTTGTTTTGGAGGCTCAGAATGAAGCTGAATAATATGAGTGAGGGTCTGACCTGCCTGTTAAGGGAGAGACACTGGAGCTGTGTAGTGAAGTGGGGGTGCCATTCTCCCAGACTAGGATAAGAATGTGGGCAAGACACAGGGTTGGGAGAAAGGATTATGTTTTGAAGACTCAGATTAGTTTCCTGACATTAAGACAACTGAAAGCACCAGATGTACAAGCTGACAAGGGTCATGCCTCAGGGTGTATGGGGAAAATAATGAGGTGGAGGAGAAAACAGAGTTAAGGTTGGTACTTTCCACAAGTTAGGGTGTGGGATAATGGGGACAACTCACTCAATGGATACAGTGTTTCATAGAATGATTAAAATATTTTAATACTAGGTAGATGTGGTGCCTACATGACATTGTGCCTACATGACATTGTGCCTACAGTAAATGCCACTGAATTGTTCACTTTAAAATGATTACTCTATATTATGGAAATTTCACCTCATAATGTAATTATGCTGAATTAAAGAAGCCAGATTAAAATGGGAACATACTACATGGTTTTATTTATATAAAAGTTCAGAAAATGCAAATGTATCTATTGGGAAAGAAAAGGAGTAATTGCCTGAAAAGTCTAGGGGTTGGGTGGGGAGAAGAGGAAGGGATTACCAAGGCACGTGAGAAAGGTTTGGGTGAAATGGATTCACATGGAGTGAGTACACATGCCAACACTCGTCAGATTGCACACTTGACACATATGTGGTTTATTTCCTGTCACTTATAGATCAGTCAGCTGTAATCAATGCTTAATGTCATTGTGTTGCGACAATTCAAGGCCAGGCAGGTCCATGGTATTTACACAGACAGAATAATATTCACAGAGCCATTGGGATGTCTGGCATGCATCATTCCTAGGTGGGTGAGCCACGAATGCTACAAGCTGCGTGTCTATCTGCATGTCTCTGCATAGCACATGTCATGGCCCTTGCTCCCCAGCATGGCACCCATCATGGCACCCATCGTAGCACCTGTCCCCTTGAGTGTGTCTCCCATCATCACCCCAGCAGGGAGTCCCTACCTGTTTAAGTACTAGAAGGGAACAAAGCTGGAAAACTGCCAGAACATTATATAATAAAACATAATTCTGCACATGCCAGCCCACTTCAGGTTATGGGAACAGTTCATTGGACCCAGTCTCAAGGCTGTAAGAACACTGGTTATCACGGTCCTCCAAGGCTATGGGAACACTGCTTCCCTTAGCTACTCAGACACCAGGGTGATGAAGCCAGACTGCCTCCATTTACCCTACAGTCATGAATGACAGTCTGGTCTGGCCTTGCACAGAGGCATGTGAGCCAGCAAAACAGGATATGAGAACAAACGGACCAGGATGGAACAGCACTCAAGTAATCGGTCAAGCCAGGATAGTTCCAGAAACTAGCAAGCCACAGGAACAAGTTCCAGGAACTTGAGAGCCATGAACTAGAAACACCCAATAAGAGAAGGAAGAAAGTAGTGCAGTTCAAAGTAACCAATTACAAGACTACTTCTCCATTGTGTGCGGGTTTTTTTTTCCTTAAAAACACCACACAGAACCACCAGGGTGGGAACTGGCCTCAGCTCAGCTGCTTCCCCTCCCTCACTCCCAAGGGACCCCACTTCCAATAAACTCCTTGTTTTGCTATTAGCTCACTGTGTTCTTGTGGTTCCTCAGCAGCTCCGATCTCACAATGAATTGCTTGTGTGGTCAGGGGGAGATTGTATGGTTTTCCTGTTACTGCTGCTTCCAAGTGGGCAGACCTGAAATGGGTACCCACGGGAGTGCAGTAATGACAACACTGGCCATTTTTTAATGCTGACCTCAGTGTACTGGGTACCTCAAGTGTACTAGCTCAATGAATCACCAAAATGAGTTCAGTAAAATTTGTTTACTCCAATGAACTTTCCTACCTTCTGGCCTTTGCACATGTCCTCTACCTGGACCTCTCATTCCTGCCCCCTCATGAGCTCTAGGTTTGCCTGGGCTCATTCTCTGTCAGCTGTTTCCCTTTAAAAAAGCTATAGCTGGTTCTTCATCTGGGTCAGAATTCCAGGTCTGTGAGGTCATAATGCTCCATATTTTACCCTTTTAACCATTATCATATTTGTAATTTTTTTACTCATTAATCAAAGAACACCGACCCTCTGCTCCCTATCTACTTTACTCTCTTCTAATCACTAGAAAGAAAACAGACAAAATCTCAGTCCCCAGAGACCTGACATGCCAGAGTGGGAGTCACACAATAATCCAAACAACAGTGACAACAATAATGTCTAATACAGTGTCAGAATAAAGTAAGGTATACTTGGGGTGATTTCCAATATGTTGGCTCAGCACAGAGGATGTGGACTCATTGGAGTGGAGATCTCAGAAGATGAGAGTAGATGAGGTCAGAAATAGAGAAGCCACCAGCCAGACCCTTGCTTTACTGAGTGAAGTGGGGAGCCAGTAGAAGTTTGAAAGAAAAAAAAAAGGAATGTGAGTAATCTCTGTTTATTGAAAGAAACCAACATTTTGCCTCCTTGAAATTTTGGTTTTAGGATATTGATTTTAAGCTGTTTATTAGGAAACAGAACTCAGGAAAAAAACTGTTGACTCTCTCCATATTTCTGCCAAGAGATTCAGAGAAAAAAATATGCATCAGTGGAAATCACTGTAGGCTAATTAGTTATGTATGTTAAATAAAAGGGCTTCAGGCAGGCACCTGTTGCCTAGATAACCCCTCTGTCCCACTGGTTCTGTGTTGCTCAGAAAAATTCTCTTGCCCTGTAGGATCTGCTCTTTTCAACTACCTATAAAGCACTCATTCTGACTTCTGAAATATAATATCCTGTTTTCCATTTTTTCTCCTTTTCCAAAATATTTTGTAACCCAATATTGCTTCACAGTCACAGTATTTTTTATGTTTATGTAAATTCTCC